AGAGAGAGAGAGAGAGAGAGAGAGAGAGAGAGAGAGAGAGAGAGAGAGAAAGAGATTTGGCGATAGAGAATTCGCTGGTGTGCGTTCCGCCAACGATTAAACACAATTGAATGTTCATTAGGATCGGAGAGATTCGCGCGCGTCGCGTGGGTTAAATCACCGTACGAATGGCCAACGCGAAGAGAGGGAGGCAGGGAGGAAGACAAGATCTCGTTATTGATGCGCGGGAAATGAAGAAGAGTCTAATGAGAGTCACGTAGCGGATGAAGAGTCGCCACGTTTTACAAAGTTACATCCGCCTACCGTGTAGCAAGCGAATTTCGGCACCGGCGGCGCTTGAACTGGGTCAACTTGGTCGTTCCGTTGGACGACTGCCTCTCATCCGCACTTAATGACCAATTAGAGACGCTTGTCCAATAGTCCAGCGATGTTCACGAGAGGCTTGTACGCGATGAAAATTCACGAGTCGATTACCCGCGCTAAAAGGACGAGTATGCGGGAACGATAAATAAAGAAACCGCACTCGCGAGACTCGCCTTGACCGCGCTCTTCCGGAATTTTCAGTCGAAAACGACTCGCCGCGAAATGCGAGAAACGCGCGTATAAAAATCCACGGGAATGCCGACAGTTGTGGAGGGAAGGATAAGCGCCGGGCCGAGGTTGCAATAAGCTTGGTGGGTTTGTTAATTATAAAAAAGACGGTGAAGCCGCGAGGCTGCAGTGACCCTCGGGTTGCAAGAAACTGCACGTCAGCTCGGCGGGTTTATTAATTAGAGAAGAAGAAGAAGAGGTAGCATCGGGGTTGTGTGAAATGCAAGCAGCGGTTACGCGGTTGCTTGGCGCTCCGCGTTTGCAGTAATCGCAGTTAGCCCGGCATATTTATTAATCGGGGAGAGCGAGAGAAGCGAAGAAGGTCAAAGGGGAATCGTAAAGACGGGAAACAGAGAAGCAAGGAGGAAACGAGTGTTTATTTCACAAGAACTATGTTACAGCATTACTTTTGAAAGCATTGTTGCGTTGGAAGGGAAGTTCGCATTTTTCTTTTTAAATACCCAAAATAAAGAGAGTAACACACAGGCACAGAGTGAAGTCCGCATGTCCCACGCGAACTAACGCGGAGGTACATATTAATATTAATGCCGAGGAAGAACGGGAGGAGTGAAGAGAAAGAGAGAGAGAGAGAGAGAGAGAGAGAGAGAGAGAGAG